GTAGAAAGAAAATGTTTTGAAAATGATGATGGCAACAAATGTACAAATGTACTTGACACAATGGATGGATGGATTGTGATAAGGATTGTATGAGCCCCGAATAAAATGATTTTAAAAAAAATTTATTTTTTTTTTAAAAAACTGCTGAAGACTTCAGCTGAACCATAAGAATACTTTTCCCAACTATACTTACATTTTAATATGGAACAAGCCTTAAGTTAAAAGAAGAATTAGTGGGGAGTTTGAGGCTTCAGGGAGCCAATGAGGTCCAGCATTACTTTAAGCTGTGGGAACTTCCAGGATGGTGAAATTAGACTAAAGGTAGCCTCTGTCTTTGCAGTTGAGAACAGGAGTCTCTGAAACCCTTTGCTCACCTTGTGAAACTAAGACATACCTTGCATGCTTCTCTCAGTAGAGACCGCCTCCTCTGAAGCTGCAGCACACTTTTCTTTCTAAAGATAAAGCGCGGGCTGATCAGAACAGAAAGATCTCAAGACTTCACTACCAGGCATCCTTCCTGAAACACCGTTTGTGGTTGCGGGTTCTGATTCATTCGTACAAAAGTACGCTTAAAAATCACTATCATCTGCATATATTGTTCACACATGCATGTATACATGTATAAATGTGTAGATATAAGCATGTGCATGCCTACATTCATGTTCTTTTTCCACACGTTCAAAAATCAGTTTGAGACCGTAAGTAGAGGTCTAGAATTTTCTATATCTGAGAGTAATCTGAGCTTAATATCTTGAATCTAAGTCTGTGTCAGCGACTTTTAAATTGATGTGCTCCTACTTGTGTGTAGGTGTCCCCCCCACCCCCCACCCCCACCTAGGTCTTTTTTTTTCTTTTTTCAACACAACAATGGTCAAGAGACACAAACCCACTCTCCTGGCTGGCCTGAGATGAACTATAGGTCAGATAAGCCACAACAATGGTTAAATGGCTCCTTCTAGCTAGGTCTGTACAAGATGGGCGTGCACACCAGAAGTCCACCCATCCATATTAGACCACCAAGAGCCAGACCTAGGGTGGCTTGTGTTCTCTCCAGACTACAGAAAGGAATACTTAGAGGCATTCCAAAGTGTAGGGAAGAGGGCAGAGAAATTAAGTAAAACTCAAAAAATGTCCTTAGAGTAACCCATACTTCAGAAATAGTGACTGCCAGGCCAACTTTTACTCTAAAAAGAGCTGAAATACTCTACAGGGAGGCTTCCAAAAAAAGCTCACAAAAAAATTTCACATCTTTAAGTTCCATTTTTCCATGAACTTTTTGGCACCCCCTTATATACCAGGATTGTCCAACAGAATTTTCTACAGTGATGCACATGTTGAGTACGACACTGTCCAATATGAAAGCCACAGATGCGGCTACTGAGCACTTAAGATGCTGCTAACGTAATGGAGGAACTACATGTTATGCGATTTTATTAATTTAAATGTATACAGGCACATGTGGATGGTGACTAATACAATGGACAGTACAACTATATGCTTACCATTAGAAAAATTAGAATACTTCCAATTAAACAAGAAAAACACTTTACATCACCACTGGTGTTAGCACACAAATGGCTAACTGGGGAGTTTGAGACCACTGATCTCTTGAAGGTACCACTTATCCTATTTGGTTCCTCCAAAGACCCATGGTTTTCCTTCTCCATAAAGTCTGGGTATCACTCACACTGCTCATGCCTCCTTATCACCCTCGATGGAGCTTGTGTTTGAGGTGCAGGATGCACAGTAGAAAGGTAAGAAAAGATAAACCCTGTGGGGCAAAGGCTCCCCCGTCCTATAGGCTCACTCTGAGTTGGAATCAGCTCAATAGCAATGGATAGTCAATAAGAAAAGCAGTGTCTTTCCAGAGGCAAAGGATTAAAAACAAAACAAAAAGTAATACCCACCTTTATTGCTAGTTTGGGTTTGATCCCAATTCCCTTCCATGTGATTATCAGCTAGAAAACTGCTAACACTCCTTTCAAACCACATTAGCTGGAGAAAGGAAACAGCCTCCACATTTTTTTCTCTGTGGAGGCGCTGGCTTTTAAAACAGGAACAACTGGCCATAAGCCTGAGATCTGGCTTCCCAAAAGGTACTTACCAAAGTCTGAAGCTCCTTCTCCAAGGTCTCTTTCACTTGACTGACTTCACACAAACGTTCCTGAAGGTTAGTAAGCATAAGCTCTTTCCCCTGGAGCTCTCGGGAAATGCTACTTGCCTAACATACAGTGTTACATGATACAGAGGCAAATGAACAAAAGGGAAACAAAAATGAATGAGAAGGGAAAAAAATAAAACAAATGCAAAAACGTATGAGAAACAAACATAACCAAACAAAGTTGGAAAGAATAGAGGCATGGGTAAAAGTTCTTTGTTTTCAAATGGTTGCTATTCAATGGTAACTTTTCAAACGGTCCATTCTAATACGGGCATCTAATGGCTAGTTTTAAAATAGCCAAAATAGCCCGGAATTGAAGTTACTGGGAGGATCCGAAATAGGAATTGCCGAAGTCTATCTTTTTAAATGAACTACTAGAGCAATTATCATTTTCTGGGTTGAAATTTTTTTTAAAGAACTGGGTGGTAGATACTTGCTGCCTGTGTTACCACCATTTTCTGTATTTGGGGGTAGGCTTTCTGCTATCTCAATGCATTTTAGAAATCCACTGGACAATAGTTGCCTGAACCTAGCTTTCATCAAGTCTTCATGTTAATGAAAAAGAAAAGACGGGCCAGCAGTTAGCTGCATTGTCCCTTCTAGCTACATTTTGTTTTGCTTGGTGTTTGGAAACCAAGTGAGGAGATCAGAGAAAAACTTCCTGTGACCAGCCTGTCTGTCAGTCCTCATATCTCAACCCGGATGACAGTTACTCAGCAAGGTCTGCCTGTTTGTCAGTCCTCATATCTCAACCCAGCTTAATCATCAAGACCCCTGCTACTTGGATAACAGAGCAGCTTCTCTCGAAAAAACCTCAGAACACTGGGCATCAATGTCAGCTCCCTAACTAGAGGCAAGGCAACTGAGGAAATGAAGATGACATCAAAAAGACTAATAAGTCATGTACGTGGTAAAGATTTTAAGTCATTTTATGCCTTGGTCAAAGCACATTTATTCAGTCTTTTCTTTAAAAAGGTGGGAATCGATGGGTTTCTCAGTGTGGGACAGGAAAAACTCCTAGGAAATACAAATAGCAAGTCAAAAGAATTCCAAGCTCTTACCCTGAATTGACTGTAAGTATTCATAGTCATAGAATGTTAAGTAACACTCAAGATTCCCCATCTACTTTTATGTATAACCCTAGAGTCAAGGCAACTATGCAGGTGGGAAGAAGCAGATGATCCTGTAAGTTCCTATCACTTGTTTTCATTCATTCATTTATCTTAAACTCAATATCATCAATGTAAAGAGTTCTCCATTCTTAAAAACAGATTATAGCCTGGAAGCAAGCTTAGACAGGAAATCAAAGTATATAGCCCAGGGATACAGGAATCGATAATGTGACCAATAGAAAAACAATATCCAAGATTGATTCTCAGGTGAAATATCATTTTCTCTAACCTCCTCAGATGAGATCATGTTCCATATATTCAGAAGATACTATACTCAACTGGGAAATTAGTTAAAAACAAACCATTTGTTTTAATTCAATCAGGAACTTGGATGAATTACTTCAACTCATAAGTAATATACAATGCAAAAGAAAAACAGCAAATGGAAAACAAAAAGATGGAAGACTTCTATACAAACCTTGCCACTCTCAGCATTCCTTGCCATCTCTAAATTTTTAATTTGATTTGTGGCTGCCTCAAGTTGTTGTCTAAGTTTCTCGATTTCCGATTTACCTTCAGAACTGGCTTTCTGAAGTGCATCAAGATCCGAGAGCTTCTCTTCGGTCGCCTTGAACTGTGATGTAAAATTATCAATCACCTTGGCTTGTTCATTGCATTTGGCTTGCAGTACCTCTAGCTCCTTTACCTTTATTTCCGCATCCTGCAGTTTGTTTAGCGCGTCTTCCATTTCAACCAGGTGCTGGTCTTCAGCTCTGTCCAGCTTCGATTTCATGGCCTCCAGGCTGTTCTCCTTCCCTTTGATGACCTCCATCAGACTAGACCGTAAGGCTTCTATCTCTCTCGCATGAGCCGACCGTTCAGAATCTTGCTTGTTCTGCAAATTTTCTATCTCATGCTGATAATCTAGTCTCAGTTTATCTATCTGTGTTTTTAACTCTGCCAGTTCTGCCGTCTCCGCACCAACCCCCTTGCTAAAGGATACCTTCAGCTCGTCCATTGCTTGCTGGTGGGAGGCGATGGCGGTCTCCAGCTTGGACTTCCACAGGGCAATCACATCTGAGTTCTCCTTGTTGGCGTGATTGAGCTTGCTTTTCAGTGACTCGTTCTCTTTGGAAAGCTTCTCTGCTGCGGTGTGTAGGGCCTTCATCTCCTTCCGGTGTGTTTCTTCACGGACTCCAAAATGGTCCTTGAGAGAAGTTATTTCTTTCTGGTAGTCGGTATGGATGGCTTCTAACTTTCCTTGCAAAGAGCTTATCTCTTGCAGAAGGGAAAGTGACATATCCACATCACCAGCAGGTTTACTGGACTCAAGCCTTCTCCGGAGCTCGGCTACCTCCTGTGCTCTCAACGCCAGGTCTTTTTCTAGTTCCATGATGCGAGACTTCTCAGACACTGTCGCCACCTGTGAACAACAGTCCAAATAAAAAGCGAGCTATTAAACAAGAACTCAATTCATAATGATTTTCTTTAACCTCGAAGATCTTTTTATTTTTTCTAACCCCCTTATCTCACACACCAAGCTAGTCAAAGCATCTTAATGGATCTGTAACTGCAATAATGTTGTAAGGCCAATTCTGGTAGCTCTACTCAAAATCACCACCTTTGGAAATGTTCCACCATTCTAAGATGCTCAAAGAATGTAAAAGAATACACTGTTTTATTTTTTTCTCTAAAGAAGTTGAAATCACTCCTGTGCCCATGAGCTGATTATACATTCACAGAAACAGTGAAGTTGAGTGCTCCCCGTAGTGCTGGCCCATCTGCACCAGGAAGTGTCCACGCTGCTCTGTCTGGTGGAGGTGACCTTCCAGAGTTGTGCCAGCTAGTACTGAGGCAGGAGCCACATCTGGCTGCGAAGCACATAAAGCGCAATTTGCCTTATGGGAGACATACTCCAAGAGTAAAAAGCATTTTCCCCCTTTTTTCAGTTCCAATTTTTAAAAGTCATGATGTCGCTTTAACCAACAAGACAAAGCATATTTTGAAGATGTAGTAAAGTCAAAATGTGAAGTATCTTGTTAGTAATTTTTATATCGATTATGTATTTAAAAGACTATTTTGTATATACAGTGTTAAGCAGAACATATTAATAAAATTAACTTCAACTGTTCCTTTTTAAACTATCAAGAGTTAACATGGATATCAGAATATTTTAAATTATAAATAATGATTGCATCAAGCTGATATGAAAGACCTTAAATGACCTACCAGATAGATATTCCAATAAGTAAACTATCATCTACAGATGATGGAAAAATAATTAACTTAAAAAATATATAAAGATGGTTACTTACCTGTAGTTAAACATAAGTCTCTCACCCAGATTCTCCCTCCTCTAATTCTCTCAGCATTCTGATGTACACATCTTGGACCCCGAACCCAGTGGTTCTCAGACTTCAGTGTGTGCACACTAGTCACATGGGAGGTATGTTCAAAATGCAGATTCCCAGGTACTTCTAGGTCTTTTGATCCTATGAGAGCTCTGGAGTAAGGCCTAGCAATCTACTGCTGCTTCTTTCAAACACACACCTCAGGGCTAGAAGAAAGACCTTCCTGACCTGGGTCCAGTCCTTCTAAGAAAAGTATTTCCCTCTCCTAAAGCAGAGATGGTCAAAGCAAAAGAGGGAGACCCTTGACGAGATGGAGTGACACAGTGGCTGCAACAATGGGCTCAAACACAACAACATTTGTGAGGGTGGCGCAGGACCCGGCAGCATTTCATTCTGTTGTGCGTAAGGTCGCCATGAATCGGAACCAACTCAACAGCACCTAACACCACTACCAGCTAAGCAATCACTATAATACACAGAATAGGTGAAAAATGGTTGCTCCAAGCATAAAAATTAATCGTGTGACTAACCTGAGAACAGAAGGAAACAGGAGTAAACAGAAGAAACAGTGAGTCCTGGATTTCAAGGAACTCACCCATACTGCCTTTTACCAGGACAGAAAATACATACTGTCTACTGCTCCTACATCCTCTGCCTGCCTACAGGCTAGGACACTGATGGCGACCAAAAAGTCCACAAGAAAAGAGAAGCAAGCACTTATATTTCCAAAACTACATAATCAAGCCATTCAGTATTCAGAGCTGACTAAACTTACAGTGCATAGTGGTTTAAAGAAGATGATTCGTTTATTCTATTTTTCTCTGGGGAGTGGGGGAGTCTGTTTCTCATGTGTAATAAGGTACAAAATGTTACTGCTGCAAGGTCTATAATATAGAGGGAAAATCTCCAACCCAGTAGGGCAATCTTTCTTAATCACAAAGCAGTCAAAACGAGAAAATGGGAAGTGGAAAATACAATAAATAACAGTATGACTCTACTTTGTAAAGCATTTCACAGAACTTTTGCTTGTTTCCTCAGCCTATGCCCTAAAAGACAGGCTTCAATTCTTGTTCTTGCTAATATCTTTATGGTACCAAGCCCTGTCCACAAATAGAATGTCTTGCCCCATAAGAATTCTGTAGAAAAAGGGAGAAAACAAAAGAAATTCACTGCTTTGGAACTGATTCTGACTCAGAGCAACCCTACAGGATAGAACAGAACTGCTTCACAGGGCTTCCAAGGCTGTAAATCTTTACAGAGAACAGACTAGGACACCTTTCTCCCAGGGGAGCAATGGTAAGGGTGTCTTCCCCACCCACCCTCCAGAGGTTTTGGTTAGCACCCTAGCTCTTAACCACTGTGCTACCAGGGATCCTCAAAGGAATTCTAAAGTGCTTCCTAGAAAGGGAGCACCGCTTGGGAGATGAAGAGTGAGGGTCTAGAACAGGCTCTACTTACTATAGAAAGAGAGCCGTTTGAATCTCAACACTTGGATAAGCCCTGCTGTGAACAGGTGCCTTCTTATGCTCAAATAAAAAAATTTAAAAATCCAAAGGTGTTCACTCACAATGCTATGATACAGAAGAGTTCAGACTTTTTTTAAAAGAAAGAAAAGAGCCCTCTTTGGACCATACCAAAGGAATGCAATCACATCAGTTCTTTTTATTTCCTAGATCAAGTCTTTGGCTTTCAGGTAACAGAGACAGCACTAAATGACCACTCTTCCCCTTCCCTGCTTGCCAAATAAAACAGGGGAGGAGTCTTTAGTTTTGAAGCTGAGGACGGTTTTTTCTTCTTAAAAAAATGAAAACTTAGAATTTAAAGAAATCTTACTTAAATACTTTAGATTGATCAGTGATTTCACAACAATGGAAATGTCTAAAATTACTGATAATTCAAAGGAAAAAAAAAATCAGGATCCCAAATCTGGTCTGTGGCAGAGTGATTTTTCAAACTTTGAAGCTAAGATCTGGGCAGTCCAGCGGTGGCCAGTTACTGTCATTTCATGTGTACACCTATACCTATGTGCATAACTACATCCATAATGGACTCATTTCTGCTGTGGGGAAAGGCAGACCCTGGAGCTATAAGCCCTGGATGGAAATCCGGGCTTCTCTGTGGTTACTAGCTATATAACCTTGGGCAAAGTACTTGTGTATAAGCCGGGTTTTTCCAGCACATTTTTAATGTCATTTTTGTGGTAAAATTTGGTGCCTCGGCTGATATTCAGGTCAGCTTATATTCGAGTAGACGTGGTATTTAACTTCTCTGTGCTTCATTGAATGGGTTCTGGTGGCAGAGTGGCTATGCACTGGGCTCCCACCACAAGGCCAGTAGTTCCAAATCACTAGCCAGTTCCAAAGGAAAAAGACAAGGCTTTCTACTCCCATAAAGAGTTACAGTCTCGGCAAATCATGGGGGTAGTTCTACTCTGCCCTACAGGGTCACTATGAGTCAGAACTGAACTGCTGGCAGTCAGGTGTTTTATTCTGGTGCCTCAGTAAAGGGGCCTGATGGCTTAGTGGTTACCTGTTGGGCTGCTAACCTACAGGTCAGCAGTTCAAACCCAGCAGCCACTCTATGGGATAAAGATAAGACTGTCTGCTCCCATAAAGATTTAGTCTTCCAAACCCAAAGGAACAGCTTTACTCTGGCCTATAGGGTTGCTAAGTTCTAATTGCCTCAATGGTGGTAGGCAGTAGCACTTCAGCGGGAGCTCTGATGGCCCTAGGATTATGCACTTGGCTGTTAAGTAAAAAGTTGGCCATTCAAATGCACCAGTTGCTCCACAGAAGAAAGCTACTGCAATCTGTTTCTATGATGATGGCATTTTTGGAATGCTACAGGGTTCTACTCTACCTTATGAGGGCGCTAGGAATTGGAATTGACTCAACTCTTAGTGCTGTGAGATAAAGCTTGTAAAGTGCTTAGAACAATGCCTTGCATGAAGCAAGCACTCCATCAGTGCTTTAATACTTAAGTCCACTGAGACATCTCTACCACACTGGCTCCCGGGGCCACTCAGTGAGTTCTCAGCGGGAGAAGCCATTCTGCTCTGTACACTCTTCATTCCTCACCACCGAGATTGCAACTTCTGGGGGAACAGAAAGGATGGAGATGCAACAAGGGCCTGGAGAACAAGGAAAAAACACCTGGAAAGAAGGTCCTCAACTCTCATGAAAAAAGGCCAGTGCCTCAATCCTCTTCTCCCAAGAGGTCAGGGAAGAGGGCAGGAAAGGAGAGCTACCATCCAACAAGGCGAACACAGGACAATTTCGAAAAAGCAGCAGCCAGGGTGGGGAGAGCAAAGGGGCAACTGAGTGCCAGTGGCAGACTGCAGAAATGCGCTTTTAGGTATTCACACAGAGCACTTCAACGACGGTCCTGGAGGTCCGTGCCATCGACAAAGCTGGCATGTTTCTACTCTCCGTTTCAGTTAACCAAGGGCAGGCATCTTTACAACTGATGCAAGATTTTTTGAAAGATTATCTACCCATCAGCCTAAGCTCACAAACACCAGGACAACTCCAAAACCAAACTCAGGTCAAACCTGAGGTCAGGTTCAAGCTCGGGCCACCGATAGGGCACATCACCCACAGTGTCCACCACTCACACACATGGGTCTGCGTCATTAAATAGTGAAAACCATTACCCTAGTGTCTTCTAACTCCCTCTGAAGTTTGTCAGCTTTGGTCTTTTCAAAGAGCAGGCTTTGTTCAAGCTCCTTAATGCGGGCATGCTCCAGTTTGGTCTGCGTCTGTTAGTAAAAAGGAAGAGGAAGAGAACACAACAGTGCCACCATCACACGCCAGCACGAGAGGAGAGAGCGCAGCATGCAGGCTGAGCCACCGGTACCTTCCGCCAGAGGATGACCAAAGGGGACAATGGAGAGAGGAGGATGGCGATGGGATGAAGAGGCTAGGGTGAGGACAAATGCTGTAGACACAAGGATAATGGTGGGCAGGGAGAAGGGCTAGTCTACTGAGAGAGCAGACGGAGAACACAGGCGGCAGATGAAAGGTGGCAGATGCATGCAGCCAAATGTCAGTGATATCTATGAGTGAGGTTGACCAGCACAAATTAGAATCGTTAATACTCCTCTACACTATCTTTTCCCCACCTCCCACAACAACCATGAAACATTGATGCACATGCCACGGACTCAGTGACTTCGCAGAGGAGACTGTCCCCCTGGATGATCATTGCTAGCAACTCAGAATCTGAACTGTGTGAGAGATACCCTTTGAGCTTGGCAGATGATTCAACATGAACACAGGTCAGATACTAAACCTGCAGAGGGAGCCTAACAAGTGGAGCTGAGGAAACTCACCCCCGTGGTCTGGGCTGACCGAGGTGAGAAAGGCCCAGGAGTCTAGGCAGACTCATTTGTGGCAGGTCAGTTGTCAAGAGGCCGTTGTTTGTCATAGGGTGGTGGTGGACACAAATCAGATTTACCGAGAAAAAAATTTGAAAACTACCTTCCACAGCCTCCATCTCTGAACTAGCCATCGGAGTTCAGCAGAGAAAAGCTGAGCTAGAGCTGGCAGGGGGGCTTACTATTTTAAGCCAGAAATGAAGTCTTGCCAGCTCCTTCAATGGTATGAGTTGGCCTGACAGCCCGATGGGCTGGTGAGAGCCAAGGGTGGTCCAACACAGATCCTGGCTAGTACCCAACATCATGGCCTCGTCCGCAACCAGAGGGAAAACCCCAAAGGTGCTCTCTAACAGGTCTGAGTGCAGCAGGAGTGTCAAAGTTTGGAGTAATCCATCTAGACTGTAGTCCTCATCCGCCTATCTTACTCAAGAGGGTCTGGTCAGCATAATCAGCTGATAGAAAATATTAACCAGTTGCCCTTAGCAGCGGCCAGTGACTTGTGTTGGTGTCAACACTGTGCAACCTTCCTGGGTTTGATCTACCAGTTGCCACAATTAGGGGCCATGAGATTATAACTATGGACTCTAAACAATGCAGGCTGGGGCAGTGTAAGCTTCTGAAGAAGCTGGCATGTTATGAGCACCTGCACTCATTCCGGTACTCAGGGGGTGGCTTCACTGCCTCCAGGCTCTCATGTTGCTTATGAGCCAAGTAAAACCCATCGGGGGTTATGTGAAAAGCGAACCAAAAATAGAGGAAAATCTTCACCTTCTTCAGTTCTTTATATTCAACAAAAATAACAGAGTGAAAATTCTAGACCTGATTGTTTGGGTAGTCCCCGAGGTCCTATGTTCAATAGATATACGACATGAATGAATGGATCTTCTCTGACGAGAAGAATCCAATCCAGATCTACAGAACAGGGGTCTCAGCCTCAGGACCCAAAATCCCAAACAAACAGCGAGCAGCCAAAGCCAATGGAACCTTTCTTCTCCTCTTCTCCTTGGGGTGAGAGGCCAGCAGGAGATGGCTTCAGGAAGTTATGGAAAAACAGAATTTAAATGTAATGGTATTTCCCCACCAAATTATCTTGTATATCCAGAGAACAAGCTGTTGCCCATGCAACAGGACCTTCTCCTCCTTCAGAGAGCTTGCTGACTGAGAGGTGTGCCCACAGTGCTGTGTGATTGGTCATCCAGAAGGGGCCTTGGGATCCCATAGCAGACCTACCATACCATGTACTAAGAATTCACGAATGGGATGGCCCTCTTCTCTCCCTGGAGGAGTGGAGAAGGAAGCTGAGGCTCTGCAGGGGCTGAGATGCAGAAGGAAGAGCCCATGCAGACCAACACAGGGCAGGGAAGCCTGTTCAGGGGAAGAACGTCACAAAAAAGGAGCCATTGAATTCAGACTTTTCTGGTTTTAAATTTCAGTCTGGTTTTAAAGTTCAGTCTGAGTTTTCAGTCAGCTGCCAAGAAAGGTAGGAAAAGACGTCGTGCTTGGTGTTCATTTTGTTCCCTGGTGATGGTTCAACCTAAGCAAGCACATCTTAGAACCTTTTCACTATGCAGCTGCTGGGGACAGCTGGGGCAGTGCGTGCAGGCCACTCTGGTGAGGAAGGTCTGCGGTGGTTGTTGGCATTGAGCAGAGGGAAGGAGAGAGGCAAAGAAAACCCAACAGGTCTAGAAGCACTGCTATTAACGGGAAAATCTCACTTCAACAGTAATACATTTGAAGAGACAGTGTAGTCTCTTCACTAGAGAATGCCTGCTTCTTGTTTCACATTGTAGGGACTGGAGCCTGTTGGGCAATGGTTAAGAGCCAGGTTGCTAATTCCAAGGTCAGGAGTTTGAACCTCCTCAGTGGGTCTGAGAAGAAAAGGTCTGGCAGCCTGCTCCTGTCAGGATAACAGCCAAGGATAACCTGCAGGAGCAATTCTACTTAGTCACACAGGGCCTCTATGGGTTGGAATGGGCTCGACATCACAACTGTAGTCACGAATCAAGCTGGAATTTCTCGTCAGGTGCATGGGTCAAACTAGCCAGCAGGGGGAGCTTGCAGAAAAGGCAATGGGTGCTGGGATTTCAATTCCCTCTTGGCAGCATGGGAAATACAAGACGAGAACTTGGGAATCCTTGCTCAAAAATTCTCCAACTCCTTCAGCTAGTACATTTTATGCTGCCGTGAGTTAGCATTTCTTTATGACAAATTATAAAATTAGAATACACTATGAATTAACTAAAGGAGGCTAGACTCCTAAATAGTTTTTTTTCCCTTTCCTTTTCGATAAAAGTCTTTTATAAATTTTGCCTACTTGTTAAACCAATTAATTTATGGAGCTTAGTCATTAGGTACAATTTCTCCAGGATACAAAGGTAACTGCTTTGAAAGCCACATGCACAGAAATATTAAGGCCAACATCCCAATGTCGACGTACACAGTTAGTATTTGAGTGTATCAATAAGCATTTTAATCTGTCATCAGTCTCTGTTAACAAGGGAGTCAACCACATGGGAAAGCACCCTCTTACATTCTCAGGATCTTCAGAAATCAGGCTCTTTTGCTATCAGTGAAAAAAATAAAAAAATTAAAAACAAAAAGGAGATTCCACTAAGCTTCCAATATCTGTTAGTATTTCAAGATTACTTTGTTTGATTAATTGCAAGTAAGTTTATCAGACAGACTAGCCTGGTGCTGAATACTCTTTTAACTTCATGTCCCTTGCCCCCAACACCCAAGACCACATATCTCATATGAATTAGATGATGAAATGAAACTTCTAATGAGTCTTTGGGGGGTGGGGTGGGGGTTTAAATGGATGAGAACACAAAAACCAACTAAAAGAATATGACTATATGAAATGAGTAAAGATGGTATTAAATCATTAATCACCTGTTGAATCCTGGGTCCTCTAAAAATCAGAAATGTTCCCTTTACTCTATTAACCATAAAAGTATTAATTTCCAAAGACATAAAAGCTCCTGTTTTAGAATGGTCCCCAAAATTTAAGCACTGTGCGGACAGTCAATATCCTCTGTAACTCTAATGGTAGCAAAAATGGATATCCTTAGAACTGTACAAGAGGGTCCGTTTTTATGCAAATATTAGAGTAAAGAACCAAAAGGCTGCACAATTTGGAAAATTAAACAGTTTATATGGTCATACACCTAGCAGTGGTTCAAAAGCATGGAAATCACGTTAACTGTGGATTCCAATACAAAATTTAACATTAATAATAATCGAGAGATCTTATGCCAAGGGAAATCTCGATGAATTCAGAAATGCCACGCAACTAAAATAAATTGAAATAAAAATTGTTTTTTGCTCTTGTAATTGCTTTTAGAAAAATCACCTACTAGTACATAGACAGAGGGCTTCAAAAAGTTCCTGGAAATATTAAATGAAAAGATAATGGATTTCTTTTCCCACATGCTTTTTGAAGCCCCCTTGTACTGATCTCTTTTACAGAGAGGAGGCTTCTGCTCAACTGAAAAGCAAAGCTGAGATAAAGTCAGGGGTTTTGTTAAGAATTATGGGAAAGAAGTTGTGAGATCTGGTTTGTGATCCTCGAACAGGAGTTGCATTCTCAAGCAGGCTGTTCTGCATTCTCAGATGCATTGCCAGGTGTATGACTGAGTTCAACCCATTCATGGTTCTCAAATTTGAAGCAGAAAAAGAAAGTCATGACAATTTCCCTCTGCAGAAGAACACAATAGGGCCAGGCTCCCATGTTGACACCATGCCCTCGGCCCAGCAGTGCCCACACCCCAGTGGGCCAGAGGGGCTGGGGATGCCCCACTCGTGCCCTCTGATCTGGCCACACATCCCGGGTGGCACAGTTACAGGCAGTGCCCAGGTTATGAGTGAGTTCCTCTCTTCTTTAAGTAAAATTTGTAGGGAACAGTTAGGTAGTTTCTCTAACATCCGTTACTCGTGGAAAAAGTCCATAGCTTTTTATTCCCCAGTGAACTTTTTAGTAAAAACATTACATTACAGGAACACTTCCAGATACAGAAAAACATCTTTCACATAATAGCATAGCAATAATAATTCTTTGACATGTGTCACAAAGTAGCACCTATTTGTTCTGTTGAAGGATTATGTGTTAGTTACGGGCTTTCTGGAAGTTGGTTCATAACTCCTGTTGGTAACTGGGACTGCCTGTACTTTCCTGTCCAACCCCCATGTCTGAACAGTGGCACCAGGAAAGCTTTAGAGCTGGAGGGGTTTTACCTCAAGATCGCCTTTGGTAATGGATTCTTCCTCAACCCGGAACTGAAGATCCTCAACTTTCCTGTGGATTGAAAGCCAAACCAAGCATTTAGCAAGTAATTAAAGGACATGTCTTCTTATTTAAAAAAAAAAAAAAAAGGCTAAGCAATACCCTAGTGAACTCAGCTGAGGATCAGGAGCAAGAGAAGTGGAGAGAAACACCGCAGAGACCAAGCAAACAGTCCTCTAAGAGCTCCACCCTCATTATTGAGGAAACACCAGTTTCAGCCAGCTACTGGTAAGGGTTCAGAAAAATCAGCGGGCCCACAATCACAAGCATGAGAATAGACCTCAAACAAGGTCAGCCTGAGAGGAAAAGATTCGAGGTTTCAAGTTCATTGGTGTTCTTCCCTTTAATTGGAGACAGGGAATGGGGTGGTACAGAAAACAAGTATCTCTACACCATCCTATGCCAGATATCTTAGGGTAATAAAGGACACATACAAGGCGGCTTCCAAAAGCTCATGGAAAAATTCCATTCTTTCCAAATTCTATTTGTCCAGGAGCTTTTGAAAGCCCTGGGTACCAGGTTATACAACACCAGGCTGGCAGGCTGCCTCTCCACCACCAGTACCTCTTGCTCCCAGACTGGGAGAATGGGTTGTCATTGATTTTTTGAGGACAGAGGGAGACAGAATCAAGACTATTTCCTTAATTCTAAAATGCACATTGTTTTCAAATTTAAAGTCACTGATGTTGGCAATACAAGACCAAATGGGCGGCATGTGCCGAGGGATAAAGCTCAGAAGGCAGGAAGGGGCAGAGGTGGAGGAGGGAAAAGGGCAGAAGCAGGGAGGGAATGGGAAGAGAGCTGTTACACTGAAGGGAATGCAGTCACTGTCAGGAAAGATTCAGTGTACGAACTGCTAAGTGGGGAACCAACCTGCTCTGTGAGCTTTCACCCAAATCACAACAGAAAATATACCAACGAGATCTGACACTAGAGTGTGTTTCAGGAATGCTGAAATGAAGTCAGCCAAAGCCACTTTCAGCCTACGAGGAGAGTTTCCTATCTAAAGCTTTCTCTCTCAGACAAAGTAACCTCCCTGGAAAAACTGGCAGTACCCCTTACTACTCACCTGTGGTTGGTATAACCGTTCTGAGCATCCATGAACACTAGATTAATTACTGAAGTGTGTCACTGCTCTCAGAAGTGGCAGAAGATGGCAATCAATGACAAGGCAGACAAGCCGCCTCCTAGACTCCAGGCTTGTTCAGAGGGTTTCTTGGCAGACATTTTGTTCATTGCTCCAATAAACCCCACTTTTCGCTAGCTCACACAATTCAGCACTTGATCTTGTTCTCTCTGGGACAAACTCTCAAATCATTGATCATAGGAGAGTTTTGTTTTCCCAATGTACAGAATTTCTCAAGAGCAGGAACTTTGTATCACCCACTTGGCAGTACAAGTCCCTGAGATACATGGCAGATGTTTGGTAAATGACTAGTGGGCTTAGACCTGGAGTACCAAGGCCATGCTCAAGAGGATGCCTGATACACAGAAGCTAAGGAATAAGCATGTGTTCAATGAGTCAAGCCAGGTTTGGAAGAGTCTGTTTCTTAAAGGGAAAAAAAAGTGAGAGCAGAGCAAATCCTCCCAACACTGTGGGAAGAGTTCAATTTCTGCTACCCAAGAGATCAAGTCATCCCTCTGGCTCTATGGGTTGATATCACAAGGGTGTTAACGAGAACTATTTCCTAAGAAAAAGGCCACACATGCACCAAGAAAGTTAGCACGGGGTCACCTTTTCTCTTCTTCGAGCTGATTGAGAAGCTCCACCTTCTCCCTGTCAGCCGCCTCCACCATTGTTCGCAGCTGGTCCATCTTGGCCTCCAATTCCAGGACGTGCTGGGGAAAACATGGACGGCAATGAGGGGCACATTCGGGCCCACATACAGGCCCAGGTATACTTCCAAAAGGCTACAGCTAAGTGGTACCATGGTGGGTTGGCATTACTCTAAAACCTTTCCACATTCAAATGCTTTATGTGACCATTAATGGGCTTCCCTCGGCAGCTTTCCTGGAAGCGAGATGATGAAAAACCACACCGGTAGAGCAACAGAGGGCAACGTAAAAACAATTATTTGTGTTGTTGTTGTTTTTGAGACTGAAACACATATAAAGGATAATCTACAAAACGAGATTGGTATCACAGCTAAGATCTAGTAAACAAGTTGGCCTAACACAAACAGGCTCTGAACATAAAGACCAATAGACTACAGTCAAATCAAGAAGAACAAAACTTCATCTTTAGGAGGATGGAAACGTGGTACCATGGGACAGAGCTTTCAGACCATCCCAGCAGGGAAATGCACACTCTCAAGACTGGCTCCCTGGCTCCAAGTACCAGGCTTGCCTTTTGACCTCCTCACTCAACTTAAAAACCATCACCATCACCACAAGACCAGTGCCAGACTTCACCTGATCGTGTCCATCCCGAGCCAGAGCTAGCTCCTGCTCTATCTCCCCCACGTGGCTCGTGGCCTTGGCCACCTCCGCCCTCTCTAGATCCCGTTCAGCCAGCAGCTGCTCAATGTGCTGCTGCTTCTCCTTCAGGGCCTCTTGGAGGGCAGTGGTGCCGGAGATCTTCCTGGCGTACCGGGAGGAGGTTTCAGTCAACTGCAAAGGAAAGTTAAAGATGTGAAGGGCGATGATGCTATCAGGGAAAGCAGGGAGGGAGCGAAGCATGCATGGCAGGCAGCTCCTCAGCAAAGCACAAGGCGGCCCCAGCTCACAGGCTTGCCCAATACTAGAAAAAGCTTGTCACCAAGACACAAGGAAGCGTGTGGTCACTTGTCAGTAAATTTCACACAGAACCAAAGTAAAGAGGTGACGGAACAATCACACATGTAAAGAGGTCATGGAATAAGCAAACAATGTGAAGAGGTCAGTGAATAGCCAGGAAGGTGTTTGAAAGGAGAATGCAGGCATCATATCAAAGTCACCCTCAATTCAGGTGGCAGTATCTTCTAGCAATCTAGGAAAAAAACCCATGGAGACCACTTAGCAAGCTTCTCTAAACTCCATTTCTGCCTGAGCTTCATGAATACATAGCTTCTTGCTATGATGTTCTGGCCAATCTTTTGAGCCTTCAACTTTTCCCCACCTTCTTAAGCTTCTTGATACTTTCAAGTACATAAGGGGTGTCATCCCTTAGCATCACAAACCTTCCTTTGATTGATTAAATAGCTGGATCTTTGTCGGGATTTCCTTCATCTTTCTTTCAACACAAAAGGCTCAGGCGAGGTCACCCAGGAATCCCAATCATTAGAGAGGTTTACAAAGAGGAGATTAAGAACGTGGGTGAGCCGCTGAGGTCCAGCAAGGGTATCTCTGGGGCTGTCTACACATAAGAAAAAGGAAGACTTGGAGAGAAGGGGGTGGGGGGACGACACTAGGATGAGAGAAACAGGAGAGAGATGAAGGAGGAGAAATAATGGAGAGAGACTTGAGAAAACAAGATGGCGGGGTAGAGCGAGACAGACAGGAAAGAAGGAGAGAGAAGCTTCCATGCGGCCATCTGTTGGTCTTCATGGCCTCACATGATCCCTCCAGCTTGCAATGAATAGTCATGAAAAATAATTGTCAACGTAACACCCTTAACACCCTGAGAAATGTTCACCGGACATTCAGCAGGTTGAATAATATCTCTTCCATAGCGGGCTCCAGAGGCTGGAAGGAGGTTTCGGAAGAGGCTTCATTCATTAGCATCATTGTCCCCAGCCTTTTACTCCGTGGTAGCTGGCCTGATGTCAGTTCAGCTTCAACATCATGGCCAGCAATCACAGCCCCATTTGCCGCCTGAATGCTCTTCTCCTAATCAGTCCACCTTACACTGCTCCCTGTCATCAATTAGTCATTAGGCAGTCTGATAACTGCTTGAGTAAAGGAACCCAATCGAATCAGCACTGTCCTTGGCTATGGCTATTTAGTGAGACTTCTTTACATACTACACAGACTGGTGGGGGAGTGGAGGGCCACTGCTGTCTTTTCACCATCTGGCCTTCAACTTCCAATTTCATTATACGGTTAAATTAGACTTTCTCTTACTAACATTTACTCCTGAAAATACTAAATTGAAGGTTCCCAAACCAGGTACAGGGACTCCCCAGAGCACTGTAGCAAAGAAGGGCGCTGAGCCAAATGTAAATTTTCAGGAGACATGCAGGGCAAGTCCGCGTCAGTGTCCGGTAGTACAGCACTGCCTGCGTCAACATCACACCTTGGACAGACTGAGTTGGAGGGTGCTGCAAACAGCCCGTGCTGTGCAAATTATCAAGGAGGCACAGGAAACCGTGGCAATCGTTCTTTTTTTTTAAGGTCCCAGTTTACCTTTCACAATTAGGTCTTTTCTTTTTCTCTTGCAAGATACTATTTTGCTATGTTCTCTGTGAAAGTTCACACCACTGTTTAGGTTCCCACCAGATAATTTCTGTGCAAGTGACTCACTGTCATTGGTTGCATACGCCTCAGTAAGTGAACACTTCACTTTTCCTGATCAAGTTGTTCTGCGTCCATTCAGCTAGTCTCCCCGGCTCCCTTACCATCTCATCTTTTTCCCTTCACGTCTCATTTATCCTATTGTTGTTGAGAACATACATGTAGCGAAATACACCAATTCAAGAGTTTCCACATGTAGAATTTAGGGGGATTGTTGACATTCTTCAAGTTTTGCGGCCATTCTCACCCTCCTTCTGAGTCGTTCTTCCCCCATTCGAATTCCCCCGTTCCCTATGGTTCTTAGCGAGGTTTTCAAGTTGCTATTGTCAGTTTGATCCCACACAGTTCTTACAAGAGCATGACGCCCAAAACAGGCCTTCTTTTCTAGTTAAGCTAGACTACAGTTTGGTTTACACAGACTATAGGGGATATTTTTTTATTTACAGTTTAAAGATTAACTCGGGGCAGTAGTTTCAAGGGCTCATCCAAACCCTGTGAATCCAGAAAGTCCAGAGTCCATGAGAATTTGTAGTTTCCACTTTTTAATCAGGATTCTCCCAGCCTCTTTGATCCAAATGTTCAATCACAGTAGTCAGGCCCCATCTAGTTCTTCTGATCCCATGATAGAGAAGGCAGATGTTGATGGAGTTCATCTTTGAAAGAAATTGCTGATCGTTTGGAGTCATAGAGGTGATTTTTTTTAAGGTGCACAAGCCACACAGATGCACAATTTTGTGAGCAGGTCTGCTGGGTGAGCTACCAGGTGACCTCAGTCAGGGGTCTGTTTCAGTGGAAGGTTTGGAGTGTATGTCAGCGCAATACTCTTGGGGAGTATTTAAGTCTGCCTTTTGTTTGGCTTTGGCTGTTCCACATTCCACCATCACCTCCCATTCTATTAGGGTTCATTTGTTAAGTCCCTAATTATAGAGTGGTCAGTAGTGGTATGCGGGCAGCATTAGCTCTTCTGGGCTAATGCTGATATAATGATCTATATAATTTATTTTCCGGTGGCTATTAAATTGTTGTTAGTTGTGGTCAAGTTCACTATCACTTCACAGTGCCTCCCCAGAGTAGAAAGGACCTGAGGGCTTTCTACTCTGTAATCTTTCTGGGAGCAGATCATCAGGTCTTGCTCCCATGGAGCCACTGAGCTGATTTTAACTGCTAAGTGCTTAACTGCTATGCCACCAGGGTGGTTTAGAACATAAATACTAAGTTATTTTTTTTAATCACTTTATAAAGAGAACTTAGCTATTTCTTTTGACCTGGGGGTGCTCTGAAAAATATCTGGGACACCAAGCTTGGGAACCTCTGTGATCACTACCAAGAATACTGCTGTGCATTACAGAATCTATAGACTTTCTCCATGTGTCTGGGACTACACGAGCCCAGAGCATCCCTGGTGACACTCTGTTGCTCCCTTTTTGTGTTTGATTCTATTGTATTGACTTTATGCTTGTAATCAATCTACATATGTTTTATAGTAAAATATGAAGAATAATATTTTAACATTCAAGGCTGTATTTAAGAGCTTGGCTATTAACAAAAGGTCAGTGGTTCCAACCCACCCAGTGGCTCCACAGAAGAGCAGACCCGGTGAGCTGCCTCCATCATGAGTACAGCCTAGGAAGCCTCACCAAGCTCTACTTTGCCACATGGGGGAGCTATGAGTCGGAATCAACTCAGGCACACAATAGCAACAGTGAGATATTGTACAGAGATGTAGTTCTGGGAAGTCACAATTTCAACTCTCTGTCAGATTCTAACTCCTTGTTTAGAAAACCGCAGGACCCCATACCAAGGCATACACAAATAAAGCAAACTTAAAGGCATGGTGCTGGATCAGGCAGTGTTGTGCTCTGCTGTCCACTGGGTCACTGAGTCTAAAGTCGACTAGACAGCCCCAACAACACAAAGGGAGGGAGGCTCATGTCTCCGTTGTCAATATTCTTCACTAAATGGGGTGAGCTAAGAGCTAGTCTAGTCTAAAAACAAAGAGATTGTTGGGGGCAGGGAGAACTATGTATTTTCCAAAGAAAGACATTTTTAAAATGTTTTCTAAATTATTATTAGGGAGTGAAAATTTTTCCTGGATCAGCCCAGTAGACCGGAGTACTCTGGTGACCGCTTTGAACAAAGCCTTCTCCAAACAAAGTGCTTTCTCTTCACTTCATTGTTCCTGTCAATCTCTCACGACAGTCTTTGTTATTTTTCTGTGGGAGGTGCAGGCTTTTTCACACGGAGCAAGTCTGAGCAGGTCTTTATTTGGCACAAACGTTAAGAAGGAGAAAACCCAGTAAGCTGGGAAAGGAGCACAGCCCTACACGGAAGAAAGACCCGCTGCCTCTCCTCTCCCCTCGGCCATGAGAGAAGTGAAGATGAAGGAAAGGCAACCGAGGGCCAGCACCCTGACTTTGCCGGTCACACACTCCACAGTTGAACTCCCCGTCTGTCACTCACCACCATACAGCACAAAGCCTGCAGCCAGCAGGCGAAAGATTTTATGCCACCTTTTCAAATATAAGACAGCATTGCCTCGCGGCAACTCACAGACTTAAGGGACAGACATGAGGCCAAAAGCTATTACTTTCATCCCTACAGAAAAAAACAAACCCACATTAACCAAAAGAATGAGGAGTTGCCTATTCTTAATTCCAGTGTTTCTTTTTCCTTTCCTAAATGGGGTAACAGAGTGGAGGAGGAGGAGGAGAAGGAAAGAGAGGAAGAGAGAACATAACAAAGGAGACAAAACAAAACATGACCTTTATGAGTCCCATTCAGGAGCCCTGGAGGCACGTGGGGGGTTAAACACTGGGCTATGAACCAAAAAGTCATTGGTTCAAACCCACCAGCCAGTCCTTGAAAGAACAGTGAGGCTGCATTTTTCTGTAAAAATTTACAGTCTTGAAAACCCCAGGAAGCAGTTCTATTCTGCCAAGAGTCAAAATCGACTTGATGGCAGTGGGTGGAGGAGGGTAGCTTTCAAGTTGCCAAAGTTTCCCTCTGCATCCTCAGGCCCAAGCCAGGAACACTCCACACACGGATTCTCCCCATGGCATGCATTTGAGATTAAGAACACACCTTTTCTCCAAACACTGGGTTCCTAAAGTGGTTAAAATAAGAGAGAAAAAGTCCTACGTGTTTAAGGAACAGGAACCCTCCAATTTTCCTGTCTCTCCAGTTGTACCCAAAATAACGTCAGCCAATGAAGACCTCCCATGCGCTAGCCTACGCAGCAGCCACTACAGATCCACCAGGAGGCAGTTCAATTTTAAGCCTTCAGAACTTGAAAGAGACTGCTTAAAACCTTTTGTTTCAAAATTCAAATTCTGGCTGAAATTCCTTTTTTGAGACTGATGTGTAGGGAATGCCACAGCAAGCTACAGCTAGGTAGCATTCAACACAAGAATGAGGCTGGGGGAGGTGGAGGATGGCATATTTTTTAAAGCCAAGCAGGTGCATGAGCAGTGGGCATTCGTGCCTGGACAGGAGCAGCATGGGGCAAGGAAGGGAGACTTACTAATCCCGTCCTGCTGGGCTTGCTGCTCACAGAGGAGGCCACTGAGCTCACGGAGCTGAGGGAGGAGGCAGAAGGGCTGCGCTTCAGGCTGGCAGGTGTGGTGGCCATCACTCGCCTCACAGCGGCTGCCTTGGCTTTGGCCGGTGTCGTGGAAGGGAAACCAATCTTGGTAACTTTGTGAACGGGAGCAAACAAGCCGTATTTCGGTTGACACTGAAAATACCTTTAGAGAATAAAAGCAGTGAACACAAATGCCACATGTATTTACAAGAAATAACAACTGTACCCCAAAAGCTCCCCGAGCTCTCAACTCATGACTGGTCAGCTGTGCACCCTTCCAATGAGCTGGGGCTATGCTGCCCACAGCATAGCATTCACGTGTACGTGGGCCGATAAAGATCACTGGGGGATGTGTTAGAAAGAATACGAATTCCTAGCCATGGAAACAGAGACAGGGCTACTCATTTGTCACCAAGGCTCTCTGCAAAAGGAGTATTTCCATCACCGATCAATATAAAGCAGAGGAAGTCAACAAGATAGCATCTTCGCTTAATATAAAGGGGCTTCAAAGAGTTCATGGGAAAATGGCTTTGAAAGAAAATAAAACTTTCCCACGAAGCTTCCAAAGTCCCCAGTAACACCAAATCAAAGGCAAGGACAAGCAAACAGACACCTAGTTGCAGGATCCGGTAAAGTCCACATGGACAGTAATAACCAGCAACGTTGTTAACCGCAGGCTTGAACCTCATGAACTGGAGACTTCACGACGCTAGAGAATTAAAGTGCTGAATGGCAGCAGCACCAAGAGATTTCTGTCTCTGAGGCCTAGTACTACATTTGGGAGTGAAACCCCACATTTTCATCATTTCATTGCCATTGGTATGGGATTCATAAGTAAAATATGAACTATAACTTTTTAATATTCTAAGCTATCCACTTAATGCATCATCCATCATGCCTGCCCCATGGCGCCTTAGAAACCTTTTGAAAAGGAGTGTGGGAAATTCCTCGTGGCATTTATTTGTATTTTTCATCAGCCACCCAGTCTAGGAGAGGGGGTACAAATTTGGAAACAAGGTGTGCAGGGAAGCAATGAGGAGAGTGCTAACACACTGCAAGGACTACATCCAACGTCACACGACTGTGTACATGGAAAACTAGCTTGCTCTGTTCATTTCAACCTAAAGCACATTCAATGTTTGAAAAATAAAGTAAATTGAGCTGATACCAAGGGCTCAATAGAAAGTACATGTCTAACAAATAATGGTGGCAACATATGTACAAATATACTTGATACAGTTAATGTACGGATTGTTATAAGAGCTGTAAGAGCCCAATTAAATGATCTTTAAATTTTAAAAAAGTTAAATAAATGACAAGAAAAGGGATGCCTACCATCTGCTCCCTTGCAGGGGATGGAATTCTAATCACCAGTCACAAAGTGACAAATTTTACATTGTTTTCTTAGCAACATTAGCTGCCTGCACCGACCCTGACTCATTAGGAGGTTGCCTGTTACCAGAAGAGAAGCCAAAGGATGACATAATATTTCTTTTCTGTGTTGGAAAATAAAGTGAATGCTTATTTCAAATCCACTCAGATGTAATACGCACATGGCCCTTTGAATCTATGGCAGCGGGTTTTGTTTTGTGGGGGTAAAAGGGCAGCAATCAGCAGCACTTCTCTCCCAGTTATTCGGGACTCTTGGTGAGATCTTAGAGGGCTTGCGCGCGCAAGCGTGTGTGTGTGTGTGTGTGTGTGTGTGTGTGTGTGTGTGTGTGTGTGTTGGAGGGGGTGGGGAGCATGAACAGACAATACAAACCTTGTTCCAGCAACAGCCCCATCGTTCTTCCCAAGAGGTTCGTCTAGCTCCACGCCACACCACTCCCCTTTGGCAAAATCCGTCTCCCCAAGAAACCGGACCACACCAGCCTTAGTACCACCAACCTGTAGGAAGTGTAAGTGAAATGAATGGAAATGGACATAAATCAAAAACGTCATCTTTGTAACTCTAACCAACGGTTAAACAGAGTGTCCCATCATTCCCATCAGAGGCTGGTGTTGTCTTAAATTTCTTTCCTACTTGCTGAGTCTTCTCTTTAAGACAGGCTGGCAGTTGCCTAACTGGATGATTTACAATATCAGAGTGACTCAATGCCTGATATATCCTAATAATGACAATGTCTAAGTCACATGTAGCAATTAAGATATCTGCCAAATTAACTAGCCCCCTCCTTAGGATCCCTAATAGTTCAGTGGTTCAGTGCTAGACTGTTGACCAAAAGCTTGGAGCAGTGATATTCTACACATGAGGTGTCACCAGGAGCCAGAATTGACTTGATGGCAATTAACTAGGGAGGAAGGGGTTACAAAGGCCTATGTAGAAACAATCCAGTGACATGACGGGTGCCACTGTGGAAGGACTGAGTTGGTGTCTGGGGGAAGTCCATGAGCAGGCCTTATAATGTTTATCACTGCCATTGTGGTGCTCAGTGGTGCAAATAGGCACTACACAAAAGTTGGCTGAGTAAATGAAAGGCAACCACCTCAGGTGGGGCCTACAAAGAAAATGACACTTTTCACGATTAAACCAATTAATCCAAAAGGTTGAACCCATTTCTCTGGAGCAAATAGATCTTCTAACACAGGGCATGAGCTAAAAGGCTGAACACAAAGTGCCCTGCCAGCTCTCCTGACTGGTCAAATGGTTGAATCTCTCCAGCTCAGTTTCATTAGTAACATGGACACAATCAAAGGACTATTTGAGACAATCCATATAAAAGTGCCTAGCACAGGCAATTGCCTGACAGAGTCGACCTATGTTAGCAGTTAGCTTGTGCATGCTAACTAGAGTACTAGTTCTAGGTCTGGCCCACTGGACTTTTGTATTTTTGTTAGTACTCATGGAATCTACAAATAGTGACCTACGAATCATAGGCTTTGGTTTCCTCCTTCCTCCCACCCTCTACTTTCCTCAGCAGCAGTCTGAAATCATCATACAAGCAGAACACAGTACATTCGTGAGAGATGATGTAATCTCCTTTGTTGATCTTTGGGATTCTTTAGGGGTGAGTCTAAGTTACTGTCATGAACACCCTTTTTCCGAGAGGCGTCTAAAAGGCTGTGGTTAGTAATTCTCTAAGCAAACCACAGGCTTGATTCAAGGCCAAAGCTTTATAAGAACAAATAAATAAATAACCACAAATAACATCCGTGCAGGTCATACAATATACATTCAGCCTAAAAAAAATCTGCAGAGTTGCTCTGAGTCAGACCTGACTTGATGGCAATGAGTTTGGTTTGTTGGGTTGTTGTTGTTGTCTGGGGGGCGGGAGGTTGAAGTCCCAGATTGGGCAATTTTCTTATACTTTTTCTCCCATCAAACTTGGAATTCTTGACTCACCCTAATAGCTGGCAGACAGTCCCTTGCCCAATAAAATATCATCAGTAATGACCCAGAATACCCTCCACGGAGACAGAAAGTCACATGATATTCTGAAACACTTTCTCACTTAATCATTTCACAGTCAAATGTTTCTCGAAGCATTTAAATGTGATTTTACAGTGAGATTTTGCTGCTCATTGTTCCAGAGAATCTAGAGCATATTCTCTTACACACGTGTTAAGTAAAAAATATTTTGAAGTCACAGCTAAGAAGTCCATGGTCTAGAGACAGATACCAATATTATTAAAGAGAAAAGAAGGCACTGCATTGTACATGTACATGTACAAGTTGTTCAATTGGGGTATGCTCTACTGTGTATATTTTCAACAATAAATACAATAAAGATAAATATTTTTAAAAGAAAAAGAAGAGAATCCTTTCCTTTCAGTGCTGCGGCCGCAGCCCTGAGTATGCTCAGGCTTCAGAAGAGGCTCGCCTCCAGCGTCCTCCGCTGTGGCAAGAAGAAAGTCTGGTTGGACCCCAACGAGACCAATGAAAATGCCAATGCCAACTCCCGTCAGCAAACCCGGAAACTGATCAAAGAGGGCCTTATCATCCGCAAGCCTGTGACCGTCCATTCTCGGGCCCGTAGCCGCAAACACCCTAGCCCGCCGGAAGGGCAGGCATATGGGCATAGGTAAGCGAAAGGGTACTGCCAATGTTCGAATGCCTGAGAAGGTCACGTGGATGAGGAGGATGAGGATTCTGCGCCGGCTGCTCAGGAGATACCAGGAGTCAAAGAAGATTGACCGCCATATGTATCACAGCTTGTACCTGAAGGTGAAGGGGAACGTGTTTAAGAACAAGCGGCTTCTCATGGAGCACATCCACAAGCTGAAGGCAGACAAGGCTCGCATGAAGCTCCTGGCTGACCAGGCTGAGGTACACAGGTCTAAGACCAAGGAAGCACGCAAGCACCGAAAGGAGCAACTCCAGGCCAAGAAAGAAAAGATCATCAAGACTCTGTCCAAGGAGGAAGAGACCAAGAAATAAACTCCCCTTCTCTTCTCTGTACATAGCGGCCTTGGCAGTTCTATTGATCAGTCACTCAATAAAAGCAAGCCTGGTTGGCCTGCCCCTTAAAAAAAAAAAAAACATAGAATAAATTGAGATTCTCAAGGCAAACACAAATTATTCATTCTCTTTACTTCAAGAATAACTTCAAGAAAAACAGAATCATGGGTTCCAGTTCTGTGTTGTTTCATGAAATTTGACTGTCAATCCCAATAATCAAAAATGCAAAATTCTGAAAATGCTGAAGAAGATGAGAGGATCTCTTTTTAAGAGACGAAATCATCAGAAAATTATGAAATAGAGTCTTCATTCGGTACTGATGAAAACACAACAGCTTCTGAGATTGGGCCTTTTGAAAAAGTTCCTACATTAGGGCAAGTAGGCACATTAAAAAAAAAGAAAATTGGAGCTTGAAGATGATTTTATAAAGGTTCCAATTATGGGAAAGATATTTCATGCAAAAAAAACACAAAAAAACCACCAAAAACCTTGATGCTGAAATTGTCCCAAAGGACAAAGATTTTGGAAATAATGGCATTTCAAAGAAGAGGAAATAAAGCTGATGACGTTCCAACAAACGTGTCTTCCACTGGAAGCTGGCGTTCAACAAAAGAGAAAAACAGAACTTGAACATGTTTCCGAAAAACAAAAAAGCCTGGAAGAAAGGTATTGAACATCAGGAAGTTTATTGGAGAAGCATAGCCAAAGCAGTATTTTTTACCTCAGAAAC